TGTACTAATGCTCATCAGAATTTATATTCCTCTATAAATACATCTTATTGACCCTTCGTGGAATAAACTTTAGTATTGAAATTAACTATCATTCTTCCAAAATTACCGACATATCCAAATGATTAGAATCAACAAACAAGAAACAAAGTTTAAGGCTCATGGATTGATAGCCAGCAAACAGTGGACATTTTACCATTCTGCCTTGACGACAGTATGACTTTGGTTACTACTATTATAAGTGATAAGTCACTTTACGAAAACCCTTACAAAAAAGAAGACCCTTGGCACTGTTCATCTTGCTATCGAGTGGTAGTTGAAAATAAAATGAAAATCTGAGTCACAGTAGGATTCGAACCAGCCAGTCATCTGTTGATTACCGGATCATTGCTCTATCAACTAAGAACTACAACATCTGACTGTTGATCATATTTTTATTTCACTTTAATTACCAATCACAGTTCACTTTGAAAATAACACAAGTGAGTGAATTCTCCACAAGCTTCTGTAAAACAGTTACTACTTATAATCATTTGACGAGGTGCTAATTTTGTCACGTTGACTGTCTGAGATAGCTACGTTTGGCAGACTTGTATTATTGATACTAGGTGATGATAGTTAAACTGATGATCAGTATGATGCCCCCTCCCCTCTCTAATTCAACCGGATTTGGATTGAGATGAGAAGTCCTGAGGGACAGCCAGTGAGAAAGTATCACGAATTCACATGGTAGTCGGGCTAAACCCTTGGTGACTGAAGTGAAATAAAAATCTGGTCAGTAGTTGAGTGTCGTAGCTCTCTGTCCGTCTGTCAGTAACCTGGAGGTGGCTGGTTCGAATCCTGTCATGGTACGAGTTCTCATTTCACCTTCAGTCATCAACTAGTATAAACATTTGTAATGAATACTGGTATCCATCATCGTTCATTGGCTATACGTAAAAATACAATTTTAGCGTTCTTAGGGTTTAATTAACCTCGCCTGGTTAACTAGTTCACCAGTTACTAGCCGGTCTTAAGCCCGGATAAGATGTCTACTATCACCTATGATCTTCCTGATTGTGGTGGACAGCATCATGTGGGAAACTGTGAGGAGCATACACTGGCTGGACCGATGAGAAGACCCTAGAAGATTTGGATTTCGTCGATGACTTGTGTCTAATGTCGCACAAACTTGAACATCTACAGACGAAAACCAACAACTTGACAGAAGAGACAGGGCAGCGAAGAGGGTACCTCAAGTGAATATAGAGAAGACAGAGGTGATGAAGATACCCAACCAACAATAGCATCAACAACAAGCACCAGTCACCATGAAGGGGAGAAACTTAAAGGAAGTAGTCTCTTTACCTACCCACCTACTTAGGCAGCACTGTTTCAACTGCAGGTGGCACAGACGAGGATGTCGAAACGAGGATCGGGAAAGTAAGACAGGCTTTCATTAATCTAAAATCAGTGTGGAGATCTACTGCACTCAGAATAAAGAGCGAACAACATCCGGATTTTTAACACCAATCCAGTCAAGTCAGTGCTGCTATATGGTTCAGAAACTTGGCGCGTCACGAAAAGCACTTCCAGCAAACTACAAACATTCATCAACAGCTTCCTACGCTCAATACTGTAGACGAGATGGCCAGAATAATAAGAATAAGCAACAAGGAACTCTGGCTGGCGACGAACCAACGAAGCAATAACCTATCGCTCAACAAATATGTAGAAGAAAGTGGAGATGGATTGGATTGGGCATACACTGAGAAGGCCGATTGGGGACATCACGTGCTAGGCCAGGCCCTTAAGTGGAATCCAAAGGGGAAACGACGAGTTGGGTATCTGAGGGTGACGACATGGATGAGATGGTGTAACGAAGAAATGAAAGCTTGTGGCCAGTCGTGGGGCAAGGTTCAAAGGACTACAGAGAAGGAAATGCAATGGAGGCGTGCTACTGAATCCCCATGTTCTACTAGGAACCCAAGTGAAACTAATAAATGATAGTAGTAGGGTTTAATTGATTTCAGGTTAGTATTCATCATGGACTGACACCAGCTGGAGAAACATTGGAAACCTGAGAACACTGGACAGTTGTTTCCTCCTAGTATGGAACTTCTCAGCAGTGGCCACCCAGTACTTATAGGTTCCGTGGCCACCACGTTACCATTGGGCTACTGGCTTGGAATGCAATGGTCCATATTTCCTACTTCTGTATATAAAAAAATCAAAAAAGAGAATGGTGGTTTCACTACCTAACTATATATGAACTATGATTTTGATTGGTTAAGATGACCTGATCGAATTACTCAAATCAGTCTAGTTTAACTACAACTACTTATATCCATCTTTTAGTAGTACCTACCATACCAATATATTACGTGGTTGTTTATCCTGTTACTTTGGAATAATAATATTAACTCTTTTTTTATGATCATTGGGCTAAATCAGACGGTGCCTTTGTTGATGAATCTCTCCTTTCACATTGCTTTCTGTAATCCTAAAACTTCTATGAGATCAGATAGGTTGTAGACTACAACTTTAGATATTGGTTTTCTTATTTAAGCAACCAGTCAACTTTATTTTGCTGAGGAAACACCTTCAGTTTAACCGTAGAACAAACTAGTCTTCTTCTAAAAGGAACTTGTTAGCTGTAATAATCTTCACTTGATCTTATTCTAATATTAAGCTATCTGTAGAACGATGTCTAATTGCGTAGACTTTAGACTGTATGTTTTTAAAGCTTTTGTCTGTTTGAAAAAATACATTCAACAAGTTCTGATGATAGGTTCCTTATGTCTCTTCATCATAAACGACTGCCAACTGGTCATATTGATGATTTTATCTAACCAATAGTTATTATTCAAGAGTTCGTTTCATCCACGTCAATTAACCAATCACTATTTGTTTTAGCACTGTACAATTTAAGAATATTTGTAACTTGAATTAGTGAGTTATTTGCAGGTTACTGCAAAATGGGAGAGTAATTATTTTCATGTTGTCTAGTCTTGAGTGTAGACCGAATCCTATCGATGTAACGCAGTCCTACAGGAGGTCAGTCGTGGCCCGAATAACTTAAAGGTAAAGCCGCTGACTACAACACTGGGTGATGCGAGTTCGAATCTCAAGCAGGATAACAATCTCGTTGAGTTGCAAATACGTCCTACTAACGAGTCCCAACAAGCACGAAACCTAGGTTGGACAGGGCTTCCTGACGATCGCTTCCAACTAACTAACAGAAATATTATTGATTTGTGAATGAAACTTCTATGATAGTCCCTTTTTTCATTGCTGGTAAAGTAAACATCATCTATAAAGTATCGGTAATGGGATAAAATCAACCGCACTACGGGTATCCGATATGTTGCCATGTAAGCTCTCTATGGTATGGCTTATGTTAGTGATCATCATTTCTTTTAAACAGTGTGTGAAATGAACAATTTTGAGCAAAATTAAAACTAATCTCTACCTTCATTGTAATATTTTAAATCTAGAGTGCCACAGTAGGGTTACATGATAACGTACCGGATACCAGCAGTGATACTCGTTATAAAACAACACGTTTTGCTAACCAGATTTTCGGCAACATTATGGATGTACACGGATGAAGATTATAAAATGTAAGTCATGCAACTATCTAGTACTTCACAGTTGTCAAACGCGTTCTACTTGCGTTCATAAATGTTTCCTAGTTAGAAGCCAATCAGAGGTTTTGAAACACTGTATTAGTAGGACGTATAACCGGTCTGCTCAGGTAGGTCACATGAATTTCATATGGCTTTGAAAAATCGCTGTCTCAACTGGATCAGTTCAGCCAACCGTTGATTAACTTGGCTACAAAGAAGTGAAGTAACCGTTCAGTGTTTAGATCATATTTATCTGACTATCAAGCACTGCTGGTCCATATGAGTGGACTACAACCATTGATGTCAGTCACTACTTCTTTTATTCTCTCAGTTCATATGGAACTCTTAATCCACTGATATGGAGCAAATAATGTTTAGGCCATTCATTATGTTGCAAGTTAAAAACAAAGCTGTGAGAAGAGGGGGATACGCAGGCTGGACTGCGGAAAAGAACCTAGAAGATCTGGATTTCGCCTACGATGACTTGTGCCTGATGTCACATAAACTTGAAAATCTACAGGCAAAAACTAACAAGTTGATAGAAGAGGCAGGGCAGCGAAGACGGGGCTTCAGGTGAAGAGAAGAGAAGAGAAGACAGAGGTGATGAAGATATCGCACCACCACCACCACCAACAACAACAACAAACTCCAATCACCATCAATAGGAGAAACTTAAAGGAAGTAACCTCCTTCACCTACACCTATCTAGGAAGCACTGTTTCAACTACAGGCGGCACAGCAACGAGGATGTCAAAGTCAGAATCGGAAAAGCAAGACAGGTGTTCATTAGCCTGAAACCAGTGTGGAGATCTTCTGCACTGTACTCAGCATGTGGAACAAGATCCAGATTTTCAACACCAACCCAGTCAAGTCAGTGCTTCTGTATGGTTTAGAGACTTGGCGCGTTACGAGAGGGATTTCCAATAAACTACAGACATTCATCAACAACTGCTTATGCTGACTCGAGACTGAAGATCAGATGGATTGCCAGCATAATAAGAATAAGCAACAAGGAGCTCTGGGAATGAACCAACCAAGAACCTATCACCCAACAAATATGCAGAAGTGAAGAAGTGGAGATGTATTGGGCATGCACTGAGAAGGCCGACTGTGGACATCACGCGTCAGGCCAATTACTCGAGTGGAATCCCCAGGGGAAGCGACGAGTTGGGTATCCGAGGTGAGGGTGACATGGAGGAGGTCGTGCGAGGAGGAAATGAGAGGTTGTGGGCTGTCGTGGAGCGAGGTTCAAAAGATTTCAGAGAACAGAGTTCAATGGAGACGTGCTACTGAAGCCCTATGTTCCACTAGGAACCCAAGGGACTAATAATAATAATAGTAATAATAATAATAATCACAAAAATTTAGTACACATACATACACACATACATACATTCACATATACATACAGTGAATTACTTTCTGACTTACTTGTACACGCGATTCAGTAAGACCAATACGTAAGGCTAGTTCTTCTCTCATAAAAATATCTGGATAATGGGTTTTCGAGAATGCTCTCTCTAATTCATTCAACTGATTTGGTGTAAATCGTGTACGATGACGTTTTTGTTTCATGCATGCGTTATTTGATGATAATTTTGCATCTGTTATTATATTATGACTATCAATAGCATCAAGGTTATTACTAGTACTACTTATATCATTGTTAGTAGTAATGATTTGATTGTTATTATTATTATCATTGAGAATGTTATTATATTTCTCATAATTTAAATATTCTGAATTTGTTTCAGTTGATGATATATTTGAAGATGGTCCAGTACTATCATATGTCAAATTCATGTCTTCTACGTGAGAATATTTACTACTGATAGTTGTATGAGTAGTAGTAATAGTCGACTGAGTGTTTATACCTAACTCACCAATAGATGAATTATGATTAGTATATTCAGGATAAATTATATTCTGTTGTGAATAATATGTAGGTTTAGGATGTGTAATTTGTGTAGTAACTGGCTGATTTTGTCTATGTTGTTGGGATAAATGTTGTTGCTGGTGTTGTTGTTGTGTTGAACATATTACATTTGATGAACTAAATAACTGTAAGATTTGATCATCTTTAATCTTACCATTCTCTGAATCACTGTCGATTATAAATTTATTTAATGTATCTGAATGAAACCGTTTTATATGTGAAGGTGATACATTTTCTAATTGATCAAAAGATTTGTTTAAATCATTCAATATCATATCTTGAGGAAATTTGGATACATTTAAAAGTGTACCATTATGATGTTGGATTGAATTAAATTGTTGTAAACCAGTAGATTGTGAATATGCTGATAAATGTCCATTTTTTCTTTCAAATGTCTAAAATAACCAAAAAATATTTGAGATTGGAATAAAAATTTGTCAAAAAAAAGATTTCTAATGAGAAGAAATAGATAATGTAGCCTTAAAAAAGCCTTAAAGATCATCATGTAGGTGTCCATTTTCAGTACTTTCTAGCTCTGATTCTGTTCTGACTGCAAATAATGGTAGGAAAATGCTCATTAGAAAGTGTTAAATAACTTAGACCTAGGGCTTCCTACCGCTTGCCTCCATCTACTTAATGTCATCTATACCAATGTATCGCAACGGTGAGTCTCATAACCTGATGACTACACTGAAAAATGCAAACATGAACTTAGTTACCCTCCAGTGATCGACTGATGTACGCAATCCAGTCCTACAGAAGGTCAGTCATGGTTAGAACAATTCACTGTTAGCATCTCTGACTGTAGAACTGAGTGATGCGGGTTCGAATCTTCAGGTTGGAGATATCCCTTGCTGATGAGTAACAGAAGAATGAAACCTAAGTAAAGTAGGGTTTCGTGTCCATTGCCTCTGTTCAACTAACAGTATTTAGAATGTTATACTTCTAAGTTAATCTTCTGTGAGTGGTTAAGGACAATAGTTAAATAGATTGTTACAACATTTTTATTTCCCTATGTCTTCTAGGGAAACACCACCTAAGATTATGGAGAATATTTATAGCTCAGGAAGATAATTTTCATGCCATTCTGTTCTCTGAGTTGGATGATTTAACCGTTAAGCTTTCGTTCTCATTCTAGACAACATCATGAACACAAACTTCTGAAGTCCTTTTGTGTTTATCAGTTCGACTGCTCCTTTGGAGCTATTTACGTCAGCCGCAGATTTAGGAATTTGATTTTCCGTGTTCACGAACACCTACACCACCTTCATATTAGCATATCTGTTTGAAACAAACCACACAGTGGATTTGAATGAGTCGTTTTCCATTCTATACCACTTTCCTATCAACTTGCCAAAAGGTACCTGGCTGAGGATCCTTCAAACTGTAGAAGCAGTAGCAACCAAGATCAAACAACCCGAGTCGTGTGTTCAAAAAGAAGTAAGTTTTGCCTCTACAACTACCATCGCCTGATTCGTGATGCATAAATTCATTAGCATCTTGCCCTAGATAATCTTATTCCATACTGCAGATACCCCTTCTTCTCTATAATCTGAAATAATTTTAACAAATTATCTCGACCTATTTTGTCCTTCTTAGTTTATTTCATCCAATTGTCACAAATACCTTCCTATTTTTTTAATTAAACTATCGCTTATAGTATTACATAAGTCGTATAATCATTTAGATCATCAATTATTTGGAACTGAGTCCTAGTAACAATTAATTTCAGCATAAACTTTCACACACGACTTTTCTGAATCGACTTTAGGTTGGAATTCATCATGGACGACATCAGTTGGAGGAACATTGGAAACCTGAAAAAAACTGGACAGCTACTTCGTCCTAGTATAGTACTTTGCATCAGAGCGGGTTCATGACCCCCCCCTCTAGGGATCGAACCCAGGACCTTCAGGTTCCGTGGCTAGCACGTTACCATTTAGCCACTTTTGGGAATCCAATGGTCCACATTTCCTACTTCTGTCAGCTCACGATATAGCGTGACCTACATCCAATGTTGTCATTGAGTAACTGTCCTCATGTTCGACTTGGATGAATCCACTGGTCACAACTTGTCACTGTAACTTTGGGTATCTCCCCTCGAATTGAAGTGAATTGACTTCCTCATTTTTATAACATTATTAACAAAATGATAATCGGAATCTCTATACTGTTGACACAATTCCTCAATATGACATACATATAAGTGTAGACCATGAAGAAGACGTTATGGAAAAGAATATTCTTTGTTCACTCAAACGGCTTCTGAATAGTAACGGGAATTTTTAATGACATCTTCTTATCTTCAGTAAATACATATAAATGCATTTATACTATTATCTAATCATATCAATATTAAATCATAACTAAACTATTGATTTTCGATCAGAGAAGTATTTCAAATATCAGTGCAACTGTAGTGGATGCTACTGGTCAGAATGAATATAAGTAGTATATGTTGAGAGGTCGGAGGAAGTCAAGGCAATTACGAGCGATGGGTAAATATTCTGCCCTGAGAAACTCAAAAACTAATGTGGTTGTAGCAAAAGCAAGACAAAAGGGATGGAGCACACTGTCCGAATTGATATTTCAATGAAAGGTTCTAATATTTTATATGTGCAAATTGTCATCATAAACAATCCTTCTAAGATTCACACTTTAACCTTTACTTCAACTTCAATTGTACACAGACTGTCTTCTCAATTATAAATTACCAATCAATATAATATCAATACTGAATGATGGTAATTGAAGATGAAGTGAAAATCTGTACCTTGACAGGATTTGAACTAGCGATCTCCAGGTTATCAGCCACGTAGTCTACCACCTGAACCACTAATTTGTTCAAATCCTACTGTGGGCCAGATTTCCACTTCACCTTCATTCATCACCCAGTATCAAAGGTACAAGCCTACCAAACCACGGCTATCTCAGATAGTCAAACTGATAATATCATGAATTATCTACTCGTGCACTGACTGTGTAATTGAAATGTGCTCTAAGTAAAGGTATTTTATGATTGTGTTAAATGAATTGCTACTTCCCATGACAACCGTATTCACAGGAAACCTACATTACATTTACGACATCAGCAGTAATAAGTCAGTGACACTCATTGTGCCAACACAGCACTCATTCATTCATCTGCTCTAGGCTTATATTTTTTCCTCTAGTAAATCTACTGAGCAGATAGATAGATACCCAGTAGCCTAATATATATTAACTTCATGAGGCTTCACTTCTTCATATAATCCCTATTTAAACGTTCAAATTCTCTCTTAGCATCTGGTGATCACATCATCTTCAATCTGTATACACATGAAATGTTTCCTTTCTCACGAAGAGTTTGGTCTCACCAGTTCTTTCTTCCAGCATTTTTTTGAAAAGCTATTTAATGATACTCTTCATCCACCTCACGCTTGCCTTTGAGTTTTTCTTCAACTATGCAATGTCATAATAAATATTTAGGCATATCACAAAGACAGTTTACTTCTGTAGAAGTTTATATGTAAAGATACGGTAACTTTTAAGGCTTGGATAGTGTAGGATGCAGGAACCGTATCACTCTAGATAGCTGCATAATTTAACCCCGTCAATGTCCAGTATGTTCCACAGAGTCACTGTCGAAACTCCCTGATTAGCTTATGAAAACATCCGGATTAAAATACTACTAATGAACAAATCGAGTAGTTGGAAACGACTCAGGTTGACATGTAGATTTCACCAGACAGCCAAAACAAACTGAAGTAAACACCGGACACTCGTTTCGTTCGTTTGGGGTCTAGCTGATCAGTGGTGTATTTGAACAAATTCGCTTCATAGAATCGAATTACTTCAGACAACCTCAGTCTTTCTGCTTATCTTACTGACTTGCATGCACTGGCCGGAATGCCTAAAACGGGATGATCAGTCTTAAAATGATTAAAAAAATTGCAGGTTAAACGTTGACATTCTTCACAGTTGAGTAGTTTCGTAACTGTCCAAGTGTGGTGCCAGTCAACAGGGTTTCCGATAGAAACTATTTGCATGTCAGTCATCCTGTTTTAGGTATACCGGTCAGCGCATGCAAGTTAGCAGAATATACAGACAGATTCAGGTGGCCTGAAGTAAGTTGACTTTATAAAATAATTTTGTCGACGTAAACCATTGATTCGCTCGGCACTAAACGAGAGGAATCTCCGTCCAGTATTTATATCCTTCTGTACAGGCTGCCTGATGAAACCTACCTACAGATCAACCTAAATGGTTTCCAACTACTCAAGTTGTTCAGTAGTATCTTTCACTAGGTCATGAAACTTTTGTCAGAGATCACATATGCACCACGATTTCGGCTGCGGAGCGATGTCCAACGGAAGCCACATTGAGTGACACCACAGTTGAGCAGTTAAAAAACTACTCAGCTGTGAGAAATGTGTGGGTGGACGGCGCACTTCGCACATCATATTGAAATTGGTAATCTCATTTTACCGCATAATCACCAAAGCTACACATATGAACAGGCAAATAAAACTATACTGTCACAGTAAACTTTTTAAAAGGTAAATGATAAGTCGTCACAATCAACAGTAAGTGAAACGAAGTCAGTCATCTCGAATCTACTGATCCACTCAAACACCATCTTCAACATTCACGAACAACCAATGCTTGATACTTTAACTAGTTCATTTGAAAGTGAATCACACTTCGTCAAATATGAGGGACACATAATACCCATATTAGATGATTAAATGGGGGGGGGGTACTGAGAGTTCTGGATACACAGATAACAAACTGTTATATCTGCGTGTATACAATTCGTCTAGCCAATGAAGAATTCTGTGACCGTTGAAATCATTCTCTTCAGCATAACTAAAATAACCACTTATTCAACAGCTCAAAGCACTAAACAATCATAAATCCTCGTGTCAAGCGTACAACCTTCAGTGTAGCCAACTACTATGGAGAATAGTTTTTCTACCAGCATAAAATTATCCCCATCAACTTGATCGAACCATTAACGATTTTAAGAGTCAATAAGTAATCAAGTGATTGTCACTGATATCGCATAATCAACTGTACTGGTAAACTGATGGAGTGGCTATGGGTTAACCACTGGAACCTATCCTAGCTGACATATTCATGCCTAGTCTCAAACGAACAAGTCTGAACGCTGAGATCAAGCAAATGACACATTACTTCAGGTATGTCGATGATACTTCATCGTTTATGATAATATGAATCATACGTCAGAGTTGTTCGACACCTTGAATCAAGCTCACCCAAATATTAATTTTAC